CTCCGGTAGTAATTATAGGAAATCGATGAAAATCAATAGGCTGAAGCGAGGGCAATCAGATATTAACATTAATCTCTTGCGCGTCCACAGGATTTTTCAAAGTGATCAAGGGCCACAACTCAATGCGTGTCATTGTCACATAAAGTAACCAATGCGTATGAATTTGAAGTCAATCAGATATCGACTTTAGCCTCTGGAGCGTACACCAGATTTTTCAAAGTGATCAAGAGTCATACACCTGACAGTAATTATTGGAAATCTTTAAAAATCAGTAGGATTCTTCGTCTCATGACCTTAACCAATATGTATAAATTCAATCGGTTGATAACCTTGGCCTTCAGAGTGTTCACAAGATTTTTCAAAGTGATCAAGAGCCATAACTCTGGCAGTAATTATCAGACATCGCTGAAATCAATAAGCTTCTTTTTCTCATGGCCATAAACACTGTGTATAATAATAAATCGGATAATACTTTAGCCTCTACGGCGCCACAAGATTCAACAAACTTTATCACGAAACGTTGAATATCAACAGGGTTCGCGCTCTTATCAGAGCGAGCAACGGATGTCATTGTTTTATTTCTTCCCAAAATTATTATTGTGCAGGATCAGTTAAATTGAAAAGAAGTTACGTAATTCGATAATTCAAATGAATGTCTTGATAAAAAATGTTGTGAAAGAAGGTACATAACAGAAATCTTTTACTCTCAATTCAATAACCTTTGTAGGCAGCAATAATCTCTCTGGGCAACCTCTAAAACAACTAGGAAATTGGGTCCCCATAGGCGTTGCAGGATATCGATTACGTTATTCTTTAAATGAATAACAAAACAAAATACATATGATATAATCTTTAATGGATTGGTAATTAATAGTAAATGACATCCAATTGTAAAAACGCTTGATCTCACATTTATATTTAATGATAAAATTAATATTATTAACTGTACATCTAGAATTTTATATATACATATTTACGGAAAAAAACTCTTTCAAAAACCCACATCAGTAATTTATAATTATGTAGATATTATATGAAGTGGACTTTGGTAATGGGTTAATTGAAAAGTTGGGACTTTATTTACAATGATTTAATGTTGAACCAGGAACTAGACCCAAGCGTTACTTATCTTCTTGTTATTGTTGTTGTTCTTGGGGCTTAAGGTTTCGCTAATTCCAGTATTGTACAATGACGTCATAATTCCAAGACGTTGCGAAGTTATATAAGTATTTACTCATAGATTAATCCCGCTGCAGCATATGTAATAGTAGTGATATTGAATACATGGAACATTTATTTATATTATGTCATAGTATATGGACGAAGTAGCATCTATTTTATCCTCTTTTTTATTCATCCCGATAACTTTAGCAAAATAAAATAAAACCAAGTACGAACAATCCAACCCATTAGACAAAATTCGAAGTCCTAAAAAAACGGCCTAGGCAAAATGGTGTAACCAGCAAATGGACTATTCACTGTGTACAAAATACACGACAGTGGTAACAGGTGTCCGGAAGAGTAAGCTTACCCTGCCTGGTGCCACACCCGCCATAGCCGCATCCAAACCATTAGACGAAATCTCGGTAAAATAGCGTGATTGGCCAATGGACTATCCGTATGCAAAAGGCGCTAGATGAACAGTGTTAACGATGCAGTGGACATAATCAGGGAGATAGTATACGGGTCAATTAAATATATCTAGAATAATAGCCGAAGGGAGACATGTTATATTTACCAATCAAGTCAATATGACGGCCATAAAACTTTTTAAAGGTTTTTGTAAGTTTAGTGCGCAAGTATCCCCGTAGTTGAAGCTTAGATGACAAATGCCTCGATCTACTTAAAAAATCAGAATAAAAGGAACAAGCTCTCACATAACGAATTAGCTGAGACACAAACACTCCATAAGCTGGTGATATTGGAATGTTACTACAAATGAATGGAAAGGTAACAATCGGAAAGTCAAACTCATCACGTTTATCGAACAATTTAATACTCAATTTATGGCAATTGTCAAATTCGAGACGCAGATCCAGGTAGGAAGCGCAATTGTCACTGTTAGTAGTGTTTTTAATTTCGAGCTCATCGGGATATATGAATTCTAAATAATCACTAAATTTGGGATGATTCAGTGAAAGACACTTTCATAAATGGCTATTATTTAGCTATACATTTTCTGTATGTGTAAGAAAATTAATATCTTAAAGATTATATTAACCACTGTTCGTCTTCTTATTGTTAAGCGCAGTAATTTAGTCGCCAAAACTGTAATGTTCCAAAAAATATTAGAGAGGTTTCGCAGCTTAACAGTTACGCTTACACTTACATTAAGATAAGTGTAAGTGTAACTGCACATTATGACGTTTCGCTAAATTCACATTTACAGTTACACTTAGTAGGTGGCGACACTAAGAATAGCAGACGATAGGCACGAGAACATGAACGCTGACGAAATTTTAAGGTTAGCCTTGGAAAATGATGATGAAGAGACTTCAAACTTGGGTCCCCTCCCCAACATAGTGGGTTTTCTCCAAGTTCTTCGGTTTCCTTCCACTGCAAAAGAGAGTGTGAAGGATAACCAAGTCTTCCCAAGGTAGCCAAAGACTAGGCCAGGTCCATGATATCGATAGGCCTACATAGCACCATAGTCATGGGCAGTTCTAGAGCACATCACGGATAGATCGTTGAATTACTAAAGCACGCATGTTTTGTCTCGGCCTCTTCCTTTTTGTCTAGGAGAAGGTCTTCTCTGTGGATGTAGTTCGTGAAAACCACGATTCGGAGAACAATTATGGACTTGATCATGGAAATTAAACAAGGTTTAGCTAAGTGTTGTGAACTTACATTGGAGTCTGCTACACTCTTATGACGTGCGCTTTACGTCATACGTCATAAAAACCGATGACGTTTTACCGTCTAAATGTAAATGTAAGTGTAAATGTAAAGTTGCGAAACCTCTCTAGTATACAACCATGTTACACATTTAGACTAACTATTACAAAGACGCTTAAATGATATTACGTGTACTTCGTTACCCGCAATATACCGATGTATAAACATCTTCACTCCTAATTAGAAGAGCCGAGTAGAATTGTCCCTTTAGAGATATTCTATTACGTACTTAATTCCCTAATTTTAAAATATATATTTTTTTGTTTTCATTAAAATGATCCTGAAATATTTTCTAATACAAGAGCCTCACAATGGCAAATTTTAAGTCAGATTACCAACTCACTACAGGCACTGTTTAAAATGTATTAAGCTTAATTTAAAACCCTGTTATAATGTGTTGACATGACTTCATTGTAATATATTATGGTGGCTGTAAATATTCTTTCGTAAATAAACATTTATAAAAAAAAATGCCAGTAGCTGAATAACCAGAGGTCCCGGGTTCCATCCCGATGTTATAGTTCCTCGAGATGTTGCCAGTATGGTTTCTCCATTTTGTATATAGTGACATTACAAAAACCAAATGTTTTCAAATTTATTGCCACCCATTGAATTAAACAAACAAGTTATCAATGAAAGTGCATCGTCTAGATTAAACCAGATGAAACAAGTTTAAATTTAACCTACATATGTATATTAGTAATAGAAGCTATAGGGTTGCAAAGGTTAACACTGTGACAGTCTTGGACGGCCTAAATGACGTATATACTGGCCCATATAAAAATACAGTGCGAAAGCGAGTATAATGACTGGCGTTGTTAGCGAATTCGGTGCAATAAAATGAATTGAATAAAATATGACTTAACAGGGCCGGATCCGTGTGGCGGGCTTGTCATTCCTTCTTACCTCCCATCCACCCCACACTTTGCCCCACCCATTGATGTCTACACAAATTTTCAGTCATTTTGAGACTAGCATAATATGGTAATTATTTTTTGTTTGTATTCTATATGGTTTTATAACAAATGTTATTGGGGGAGGGGGGGGGGCGCTTTTGTCAAGACAATGGCGTTTCCGCTTAATCTTCTTCGATTTCCAACTGTCAGACCAAAGCAGAAGAAGGCAAATTTTTGATTTCCTGATACAATTAGATAACAAAATGACCTAAGAGCACTATCATTAGATGAATTTGAGAATTCTAGTACACTTCTTTTCTTGTGTTGTTGGTCAGTCATTTTTTTCATATCTTTTCTTTTTCCTGTCTCTGTCCTGTCCTCTCATTCCTTCTTTCTTTTCTCGCCCCCCCCTCTCCTTTCTTTCTCTATTCTTTTTTCTTTCTCTTTTTTCTTTATAGGCTTAGGCCCACTTTTTTTAATGAGCTTAGGCCCACCGGTTACGGACAGGTGGGCCCAGTCCGGTGGGAGGTATCCTGGGCAACCGGCGAAATAAAGGAGGTTGAAAGGTGACCATTACTCCTGGTCACGTATATGCGGGTATTGAAACTTACACCACCTGGGTCATCAAGTCCAGGGGCAGTAGCGCTACTAGTTTTAGAAGACCATTTCCGTTTATTCTGCGTAAAGAACTCGAAAGGCGTCCTTTCACAATAACACAAAAACTGCAAGCAAACGAGAAATGCTACACCCAAAAGCTTCATGAAAAATAAAGTGTCGAATTGCTCAGATTTTATGTAATTATCATGGGAATCGGGACATGGGGCTTTGAAAAATCAGTGGCTGGTTGAAAACTGGGCGAACAAGTTAACAACGCTGGCCTTTCAACAACCATTTGTATTGAAAATATACCATTGTTACATTGTGTTGACCATGAACAACGTCGAGTTAATTGGCTACATGTGTACGCATACATTACCACTAAGTGCATTGAATAATCGTGTAAACATCGTAAGGAAAAGACGAATTAAACGTTATATATCTCAGTTATTCTATAATAGTATAATTTCACGTTTAAGACTTCAAATTGTAACCGTTCGTACCGGTATGTCTACAGCTCAACAGCTGATCGGGGCTTCCGTTCATGACGGCGATTTTGACAGATGCCTGCTTTTAGTCTAAAATTATGATAAATAATAAAGATTTCTTTACCTTAATCCATCGTAGTCTGCAGCTAGTTGATTTGAACGACAGGTCAAATATTTCCCCCCAAATTTATACGTCGTTTATTTGTTAACAGTCGCAAACTGCAAACAATGAATCGGTATGCAAAAGACTGAAATCAGCTGTTAACCGCTAAAAATAGATAAGTGTCCGGATATCTCAAGAGAACCGAACGGCTCGACGCACAAAAGAAAACAAATTAACCATGGCATTCAAATACAAGGGTATCTGGCTAAATCGTTTGGGTTCAACAGATTTTGAAATATGTATTACTAGTTATCTTTCTATAGATAATTACAATTAGATTTATTCCAACGGTCCATAAGAAGAGCTGAATAGTCCGTTCGAACATCCAACGGGTTTCTAGTTATCACGTGATATGTGCGACCAAGATCGATCGCGATTCACAACCACTGCTCATCCTTGACAACCGTCCATAATCAATCATTGACAGGGGCGGATCAAGTGTGTGTGTGTGTGTGTGTGGGGCTGCTTGGGTACCCCCCCCCCCCGCTACATTTTTTTTTGTAAAACAACAGCTTTTATGAGAAAAGTGTCACGGACGTGTGCTTATCCTTTATCATTAGATGGTCGGATGGGATGTGCATTCAAATGTGATACAACAATCAATGGCAATGCTTTGCATTAATTAAAAATATCCACCCCGCTTATTCCCCCTATTATATTTGGAGTCATAATTGTGCAAAACTGTATTTTAGGCTCTTGTCAAGCTACATAGTTTATGTGATGAAATTTTTTGACATTTTAGTGTTTGACAGTCGGTTTTTGTTTTTCTACTTTGCTTCCTTAAAGTTTTCTGCCATAATTGTACAGAACTGATTTTATTGCATATCAGTTAAAGTAAACCGTAGGGTTGCAGGTACATGTATTTAGTATGTATGTACGTAAAATTCCAGTTTCTGTGTTTTGTCAGAGTGACCTAGCTCAGGGAAAAATGACGATATAGAGACCATGTATTTCTCAAAAATTTTCAATTCTGGAGGGAGAGCCCCCCCCCTCCCCCTGACCCCAAAAGATACATTGGCAAACACCATCACACTAAAATCACTGGACCCGCTCCTGATTGGCGACTATTATGAGATGACGCTGAATGCGAATAGATCTAACACGTCAAATACAACAACACCTATGTGTATGGAACCATGGTGGCTCATAGGGTACTGGATCGTCATTTTGAAGCCCTCAATATTGGCTGAGAAAGTTTCTCAGTTTTCTAGTGAGGATTTCCCTTGTCAGTGGTGCACTGGCCCGCAGGTAAAAGAACCCTTGGCACTTGGAATTAAACTGTCCGGTGCAAGAAATGTGGATGTTAAATCTCACTTCATTTTATTTCCCCCAGTGCACCCCACTCCCTTCACTCTCACAAAATAAACTAACCATTATGAAAACTAATACAGCATTTACGTTTAATTGGCAATATATTGCAATACTCGAAAAACATTAAAGATACATTATGTAAGATTTAAATCAAGAGCTGGCCTTCAAACATAGATAACGCAAAATGAATGTATTGAAAATTTCAATCAAACTACTTTATTCTGAGATAAGTAATCACTTTTTGAAGTTTTGACAAGATGTGGCAGATTGTTTATCACAAATATCGAAGGTAACCAAGATCTTTTGGTTATAAACATGCATTTCAAGTTTCATCAAAATAGGATCAATAATGTCACCTCTAGAGTGTCCACAAGCTAAAAACATGATTTTTTTGTACAATCAGGGGCCATAATCCACAAAGTTATGGTCCAATACATGGCAATATCGAAAGGAACCAAGATCTTTGGGATATAAATCTATAGTCTTAAGTTTCGCCTGATAAGTTTCGCACACAAACAAAATGTGGACAGGGCAAAAACAATATATGTCTACATTAAAAGTGGGCGTATCAAAATTGTGACCTCTAGAGTGTCCAGAAGCTAAAAACATGATTTTTTCGAACAATCAGAAGCCATAATCAATTAAGTTGTGCCAATATCGAAAGGAAACAAAATCTTTGGGATATAAATTTGTATTTTAAGTTTCATTAAAATAAAAATTGTGACCTCTAGAGGGTCCACAACTTTGGCAATATACGCGTTTACACTATTTGCGTAAAGGGGAGTGGCCATTTTGACGGAAAGTTTCTGTCATACACGTTTGCTTGAATGGTTGCTGTTGATGGCCTTCCCAGACGTGGTTCATCGTTAAGGCTCTCTGCACACTTAAATTCCGCAGTCCACTTCTTTAATGTGGAAAAGGAAGGGGCATCATCCCCTGCAGTGGAGACCATGTCAGCATTTATCTGTGTTGGGGTTAGTCCTTTCAGTTGCAGGTACTTGATATCTGCCCCATAGCCATTTTTATCCATTTCTGGTGATTTCAGTGGGTAGGTTCACTAGATGGTATGGTATGAAGACAATAATAACACTACAGTTGCAGTTCTTATGTCTATGATTCATTCAATGATTGTACTTCTTGGTGGCAAAAGTCTGTGACTCAGTGAGTAGGACGTTGGCTCGCTAACCGGGAGGTTCCGCGTTCGATCTCTGCGTTGGCCGAGAAAGTTCTTCCGGATTTTCCGGCGTGGTTCCCCCTTGTCAATAGTGTAGGATGGAGGACCTGGCAAGGGACAACATATTGTTTTTCGGATGGTACGAAAAACTGAGGTCCTGTTTACACATTGGCTTGCACGTAAAAGAACTCTTGACAGTTGGAATCAAAATAAAAGAGTAGGCCATAGTGCTGCTGTCCGGCAAAATTTTGTCAGTCAGTTTCGGTCTGATCTAAACGAAATTTGAACCAAAATGTAATTAGGATGTAACGGTGATATATTTAAACAGTTTTTTAAATCGGATAAAAATTGTGATCTTTAGAGCCAATAAGCTAAAAACACAATTTTTGGTACAATCAGGGGGTCATAATCCAGAAAGTTAAGATCCGATATGTGCTCAAATCGAAAGGAACCAAGATCTATGGGATATGAACTATATTTCAAGTTTCGTCACAATCACAATCGGATAAAAATTGTGAAATGTAGAGTGTCCACAACCTTCGTATTACATACTGTTCATTAATTAGTAATCAAATGCAGTGGAAATATGTCAGTGTGTAATAGAGATGTTTATCTAGGCACGAGGTGGCTGCTAGTCAAGACACATGTCTCAGATTCTACCAGAAAACTGGATATCGATATCAATGAGCCTCAGATATTTGCTTTGAACTAGAACAAAGGGTTGTACAAGGCTTCCATATAGAACTTTTGAGCTTTATTCAATAAAATATATCTGGTACTGCCCTTTTAAATAGCATATACATGGTTTTGCAAAACAAAATTAAGTCTCATCCCATTAATGGAATTAAGAACAATAATAAATTTATTAGTATTGGTCTGTAAGACCAGAAAAATACCGCAACTTCCAGGCAATCGTTTGAAAGTAACAAGCAGTTGCCAGGCAAGATTGCCCATATTCTGCAAGAGATGGATAGAGAACAAGCTAAAAAAGCAATCGGGGGCCATAAATCCAGGAAGTTATGGTCTGATATGCGCGAATATCAAAAGTAACCAAGATCTTTTGGCTATAAACATATCTTTCAGATTTCATCATAATCGGATGAAAAATGGTGACCTCTAGCGGGTCCACAACCTTGGTATTACAGTCTTTTGCGTACGAGGGGTGTCCATTTTGTCCGGCAGTTTTGGTCCGAACTCAACCAACAATAAGGTGTAATGTTTATATATTTGAACGTTTTTTTTTGTTTTTTTTAAATTGGATAAAAATTGTGACCTTATAGGGTACACAACTTTGGTGTAACATACTTTACACTTTATGCGTACTGGGGGCGGCTAGTTTGTCTGGCAGTTTTGGTCCGATTTTCACTAACTCAACCAACATTACGGTGTAACGGTGAAATACTGGGCGGTTAAACGGTTCAAATGTCGACTGCTAAAAAATAATACTATTAATAGCACTCGTCGTAGTCATACGGCAAAGTCAACAGACCTTGTTCTGACTTTTGCTATTGTTAATCCAATCTAAATACTTCTCGGCATTTCTAACTATATTCTACCTTGTTTATTATTTACTTCAAAACGTAACCACCATTCAAAATATAATCATAAAGGCTAGAAAATGACATTATACTAGATTCGTTATGACATTCAACACGTTTCATATCTCGTAATTTCTCGCAAGAATTCTACTTTGGTTTTTAGTTAAATTAACCAATCATAAAAATTCTACTTGCAAGCGAGGATTTATTTTTTTATTGTCCAATCAATAGACGCCTTCCAATTTACTTTATTCTATTCTTAGTAACATTGTGTAATCGTAATATTATCGCCATCTGTCACGTACGAAGGGAAATAGAGTATTGTTTTGTATATTATCGTTATATAGAATTAAAAAATGTTTCAAATGAACCAAGTTAACCAGGTAAATAAATAATTACGGCCTTAGATAGTTTAAATTTTCATTAAAGAATTGTACATGTCTGAAAAAATTCCTGACATTTTTGCGCGTGTAATGCCTTTTAGGCGAGTATAGCGTGTGCACAAGTAATGACTCGCACCTCCTGACAAGCTCTGTTTTATGTTTAAAATTGATACCATGCGGTTAACGGTTACTAACCGATTAATAGCTACGGCTATTCGAATAACAAAAAAGTCCTAACCGTAGGAGCACTACTCTTGAGCGTCCACAATCAATCGTGGACGATGGACGGACCGCAGCGGAGACGACATTATACAATCACATTTCATGGTGGGCGTATACATATTGTGACCCATAGAGTATCCACAAATAAATTGTGGACGGAAAGGGGCGACGACAATATACATCCACATAAAAATGTGGGTGTATAAAAAAGAATGCAAGTTTTTTATTATCACCTGGCAAATTTGTACCAGGTCATTATTTCATTTCTATTTCTATAAGTGCTGTGCATTATTTTTGATGAAAATCATTTGCACGTCAGGCTAAGTCAGTCTGCTGATCTCTGAACAAAAGTTGATCATTTCTTTAAACTGTCCTGAAATACTTTCAAGAATGATGAAAACATGTCCATTTTTTCTCGGTGCATTTTTTCAAGCCTATCTAGCTTGGCTTTATCTTGTCTTTTTCTTTCTTCATTAAACGATTTTATTATAGAGCTAAGTTCTTGTAGATCTGTTTTTGCTTGATTGTTTATGTATTTTTTTTTTCTGTCTGGTTCACATTTATCACAGTCTGATAAAAAGTTTGCATCTCTTTTTATGGTTTTAATTTGTATAATAGTTGGTGTCACCGCATTTGAAGCAGATGATATATTTGTACTTGTTGCAGGAGTGTACTCATATGCCTCAGAAAGTTCTTTATAAAAGGGGCATGTTCTTGGAATCATTTGAGCATTTTTATGGTTATAATTCACCACATCTCGATAGGTTTTTGTCAATGATTTCCATTTATTCTCTACTTGAACCCATGAATAGGAATAACCTAACTCTCTTAAGCGCCTTGCAATCATTTCCCAGACAGACTTCTTCTTGTACTCTGAGCTATGAAAAAAATCATCATGTTCTTGGTGCAGAGATATCAAATCTAAAATAGCCTGTTTAGTCCAGCTGATTGTCAGACTATTTGATGAGGTATAAGGATCCTTTTTTCCGTGGTCTATGGGTAGCTCAAGTATGTGAACAACATTTTGCGTTTTCTCACCAGGTTTATCTATATATGTCCATCTTGTTGAAGAGGCATCAACATGGCTGTCATCATTGTCCATGACTTCAATATTTCTAAAAAAAAAAAAAAAAATTATGGGATTTGATCAGCAAAACATACACATCATTCATTGTCCATGACTTCAATATTTCTTATCAGACTAAAAAAAAAAAAAAATTATGGGATTTGATCAGCAAAACATACACTACATCATTCATTCATTGACTCAACATCAACAAAGAAAAGTGTTTTCAAATCAAAAACATTTTTTATTTTCGAGATAGGTCTTTCATATTGACAAATTACCTAGTGAATAATCTTGCAGTTTTAATTGCACTTCCTGGTAGACCACTTCAGAGTCAAAACTTCCAGGATGAGAGAGTGTGAGAAATGGGGTGAACGTCCACAAACTGGGTCATTTCGTGACAAACATAGGCCATGGTAAAAAAATTGTTTCATAATTTGCTAGTGCATAGGGTTCTTTAGCAGTGAGAGGTAACCCATACTCCTTATCAAATACTAGATCTAAATAATGCCACTTGACTCAATGACAGACTTTATGATCTAAAGCATACAGGTTACCTCCCCTCCCCCCCCCCCCTCAAAACTAGGAATTTGCATCTTCAACTCACCCAATTTTACCACTGCATTTATTAACTAATAATTTTGTTTTAATGTGTTCTGACCAATAAAAGCAAAACTTTTCAATATGAATATGAAATGAAATGGAGTTAAACATCCTACTTTTCTGCAGCAACTGGGCCATGCGGTGTGCTATGAGAAAATTTTGTCAGGACAGAAATGCTGTTGATATAATTCATCTTCTCATGACCCCAATGTTTCACTGTAAGATTGAAAACAAGCCAACAGTGAGGCTGATGTCCGCCGCCGAAATCCCAAAATAAATAGATGACACATATTAATAAATCGCACATTTATTTTTTTCAAATATATCAAGCAATCAAACTGATTATCAACTATACACTAAGTTTCATCAATCTATCAGATAGAATCAAGACATTCACCTAATGAACATCAACATCAAGTTTAAACATTCTACCTCAATTAAAAGCAGAGTTGTTATGTTCCAAAGTCTTGACCAATCAAATTCCTTATCGATCCTTAGCCTAAGCAGAAAATTCTCATCATCAAACTTAGTCATGGTAATTATAAATGAATCTAAACACGGAGTTTCATCACTCTCACTTAATTAAAATCAAAGTTATTGGCCCCAAAGCATCAACCAATCTCTACTTACCATAAGCAGACGATGTTTATCATCGAACTCCATCAAGGCATTTGCCTATTAATAAACACCTACACCAAGTTTGAACCTTCTAGCTCAATTAGAAGGAGAGTTAATGTGTTCCATATTCTCGGCCAATCAAATTGCCTATCGCTCTAAGCAGAAAATGCTCATTATCGAATTTAGTCAAGGTAATGATGTAATGAAACTACGTGTATACACCAAGTTTCATCACTCTCACTTAATCAGAACTAAAGTTATCGTGTCCCAAAGCATCAACCAATCAAATTGCTTATCTCTGCTTACCCTAAGGAGAAAATGCTCATCTTCGAACTCCATCAAGGCATTGGCCTAATAAACATCAAGTTTAAACTCTCAATTAGAGAGTTATTGTGTCCCAAAAAGTGTGATGGACAGACAGACAGGCAGATGAACGAACTCATTTTAATAGTCCCCTGCTTTCTTCGAAAGGCGGGGGACAAAAATCTGTTAAATACTGTAGCCTCTTTCATGTTAAGGTTTTGGAAAGAGGGGTACCTCAAGGGAGGGGAACGTTGAATATCAATAAAGTTTGTCATCTCAAGACACCAATGCTTTACAGCAAATATGAAAAAAATAGCCATGCAATACTTGGAAATACGCCCACACAGCAGCTTTTTCTTGAAAATCATGATTTTCTGGCATGGTTCTCCCATGTCAGTGTCTGGCAAGCATGATTTTCTGGCATGGTTCTCCCATGTCAGTGTCTGGCAAGGGCAAAATTTCCCTCTTAGCACACTGCATAAAAGTAGGATGTTAAACCCCATTTTATCTCTTTTCATTTGTCTTGAATAAAACAACAGCTTTCAATCTGTCAGATTAAAACACAGATCCTATTTCGTTTTGTTTTTTATAGTTCAAAATTTCGTTTTACTTGTCTTTACTACACTAGGATTTGGAAGAATTATGTAACCAGCGTTATCATTGACATGTTCTGGATGATGGGAGGGATTAGCTAAAGAAACAGTCTGTTACGGCGAGTTTTAGGCGTGAGGTGCACTGAACTGTGGGTAGCCCACTAGAAACATCAATGCTGATTGGTTAATCAAATGTCTGATGTCATAGGGTCAAAAACCGCTTGTATGACCTCTGATGCGACCTTCTACTATAAAGTACAACTGGTCAGGACTTCATGTAGTGTATGTAAGCCAACAAAAATATAAAAAAACGAAACGAAATGTAGATCTGTATAGATTGAGCAGCTTTATGTCTTCAAGAAATCCAGGTTCTACTTCAGTCTAGCCAAAATACGCCAATATGGGGGTCCACCCACCACAAATTCCTGTAGGAGGTTTTTTGGTAACAAATGGTAGAGGACCTTTCCCTGTACATCATACTGAAAATCCACCGAAATCCATTAAGGGGTTTAGGAGTTATCAATGTGACAATTTACACCTTAAAATGCTGTGAATCCTCCTGAAAACCCTTGACCAGAAGCGGATATCATGGAGACTAGGATGTTAGAGGTTTATGACGTCACACTGTTCTCATTCTATAGACACCAAGTCCGATTCTTACAGGTGTCCTGTGTTCGTTTATTCATCCACTCCCCCCCCCACCAAAAAAAAACCAGAATGAAATTTCACAAACCAAGGGTACAAAAGCTGACATCATACTCGACAGGGAGCATAATATTAATATTTGAGCACATGGGCCTATTCAATAATGGAATTGATTAAAATCAATCACGTTTCAGCTACAGTCTTGATTTTTGACACAATGAAGAGTTCACATTCCCTTCAGTATCGAGAATAAGAACAACATGACACTCTTAACAATAAGTAGAAAAACCTTTTTTAAGATTGTTATTGCTGTCAGAGAAAATGTATCGAGATTTCTCTAGGTCAATTGTGAGTTAAGTTCTCCTGGAATATAGGGTAACTCAGAAATTTAGAACCTCTGCGATATGAGACAAAACGAAATTTAGGTAAACAGATACAATCTAATTTCTTCAAAAATTCCAATTCTGTTTCCCCTCTTTACCTAAACTTTGTCTTATTTTCTCACTAAAATGTTCATTTAAATTGTACAGGCGTTCACAGGGACTGACAGGCAACCGTTTCGCAGTAATCATTTGTGTGCTTAAAATAAACCAATGCCGACAGCGAGCGAAAAAATCATGATTGGTTACTTACAGTTGCAACAAGTGGTCAAAAATATTAAAACTTTATCACCTCATCTCATCACCAACAGTTTCATGTTTTGATGAACTTTGTCGCAAATACAAGCAAACAGGCTGATTTTTCATTAGAGAACTATGCGTAGGGATATCTAATTTTACCATCATCAATGAACTTTACTTTTCATTTTTCTGGACTGGACTACTGGAGGTTATTTCAAACAGTGCCATAATAAGAACTAGTTCTAAGTTAAATAGTGTTCATTATATACGGGACAAAATTAGTTTATTAATATTATTTATGATGAAGGCTCTGATCTTTCATAACTTTAAACTAGAAGAATGGAACTGGAAGTGGTGTTTGACTATGCCTACGTCATATCATGTTCTTTCACTTACTACGACCACCGCAGTAGGCCCACCTCTTCTTCTTAGTACAAAATGTACTTTGATGTTGATATAAGCGACTCATGCATTCGGAGTCCTTTGGTTGACCGAGTGTTAAAATATGTAAAATAGTTTCAATCAGTTTCACACTGACCACTAGTAAATATAATCAGCAGTGAATATTCGCTAGGCCACTACAATCACTGAGAGGGATGACATCGGTACGGCTGAATGCGCTCGCGTTATTAACTTTTTTCCATCTGCAAATTAAATTCTATAACATTTTTTTGAAGAAAAAAATATCTTTCCTTCCAGTGATTGTAGCCACCGGGTAGAATAATCACCTGTGTAACAGTGTGAGATGGTTCCTGGTGTGTAATTACAGTTTAGCGCATGGGCGGTTTTAATAGTCAGCTCACATCTCCTGATGTTAATACTGTAAATATTGGTAGATAATAGTGTGGAACCCAATTTGACCGTAAGATAATCTTAGGAGAAATCCTATCACGGGGAATCAAAGCACACCGCGTCTATAACGGTGTGTGCTGAATCCTACAACTGCGCAGGGACCATCTCACACTGTCAGTGTCACACCTGTGACCGGTGTGATAGTTTGAGTTGACTCCTGGTGTGTGTTTTCTCCTGGGCACTTGCGCATGTCTGAAACTGATGTTTGCCTTAACAACGAAACTATGTCTACTTCCTGCGGTGCGAGTTGGTTCCTTGCAGTACAGGAAAAAGTATATCATGTACTTGATTAGAGTTTTGTCATTAATAAACATACTTGTTATCGTGATTAGCTGTTGTTTTAGTGATGAGTAGTTACACGATCAACGGATCTAAGTTGATTGGCTTGAAATTGATACTTCTATCGTTCGTGATCGTCAATTTGCATCCTCTCGTGGTGGTAATACTGTAAATATCGGTACATAATTGTCTATATATTGATTTGACCGTAAGAATATCTTAGGGGAAATCCTATCACGAGGAGTCAATGCACACCGCGACTGTAACGGTGTGAGTTGACTCCTACAACTGCGCATGCGCCAAACGGTAATCACACACCAGGAACCATCTGAAACTGCCACACCGGTGTCTTCCCTTTCAATGATAGTAGCGGCCAAGCGAATGTTTACTACTGATCCACCGAGAAATATGTCGCTATATTACTAAAAATTTATTTTATTTATCGACGGCTAAGATAAGCCCATACTCAATAACGTCTATAATCCACATACGATCTATGGCCATACCAAGCACGTGATTTCACTGCAGTCACAGTCATCCAGCGAATTTTCTTATTGTATGACAGGTTGATTTCGGTGTCTTCGTCTAGTGACAATAGTGATCTAGAGAGCAGTCGACAGTGGATTTAAAACACGACAAATAAGGAAGGAGGAAGCCAACAGTCAAACTGAAAGAGAGACCCATCATCTCAACTCAAAATATGGAATACCGGTACATAAAAACCCCAAAGGTATATACTGTCACACTGTGACCTAGAGTTTGACGAGATTTTTTTTCCTTCTAATTCTCATTCTCAATAACATTGCCACTTCTATTCTATTATAATTGCCCTATCCAAAATGAAATAATAAAAGGTTTAACGTCCAACTTTTCTGCTCCCACTGGGCTAATGAAGACAGTTGTAGAGATAGACTGAGCTATGAGAGAGAAATTTTGTATCAAATTCCAACTGTTCAAGGTTCTTTTACGTGCATGCCATCTGTAGGTTACATGGGACATCGGTTTTCCGTCCCATCCATTATGTTTTCCCTTGCCAGATCCTCCGTCATGCATCACTGACAAAGGCAAACCACAACGAAAAACCCAGAGATGATCTTTCTTGGCCCACACAGATGGAACACTGCTGGGCTAGTGAGCCAACAATTCCTCATCATTTTTATACGCCCACATTTTCATGTGTACGTATATTGTTGTCGCCTCTGTCCAACCGTCCACAATTTGTTTGTGTACACTGTACAGTTTCACAATTTTTATCTGATTTTGACAAAACTTGAAATATAGGTTTATCTCCCAAAGATCTCAGTTAATGTTACTACTGATTTGTCAATATATTATATTATATATTACCGGTATATATAAAATGTTATAAAATTTCAAAAGGCACAATCAGCATGTCTGTTATTAATCTTTTAGAGGCATTTAATAACTGGATAAAGCAATAAATTATAACACATAGACTACTGATGGAAGAATAATTACTGATTTATTTAGGCGACGTTTCGAAGAGTACGGTACTTGCTTGAAAACGTTGAGAGAATACTTTTTGTAGCATCGCCTAAATAAATCAGTAATTGTTCTTCCATAAGTATGTGTTATAGTTTAATGTTCGTTATTATATAAAAACATAGATATATATTTGTATATCAAGGTTTAAAGAGCTACACGTAGAAAAAGATTATTTATTGGCTCGGTCCGCTCAAGGTTCTTTTTTTTTCTTGCATGTGTATCTCTGTAGGTGTTTGCAAATATCGGTATAAAAGCAAAACTGCTCTATGGAATTTCAAGTGGTATCAGAAGCTGCTCACATTTATTAAATACAAGAATTAAACAAATGTAGCTTTTTTTTTCTGGAGAATATTTTACATCTTGCAAATGTAACATGGCGAAAAACTTAAGGTGAAAGCTCTTTCTGCAGTATATGATGTGTTTCAGGTAGAAGGTGTAAAGCTTTTAGATAAATTCAATGTGAAAAAACCCACTACAGGTATTCTTTACTTGACCACCACACATCTTATATTTGTGGAAAAGGCAGGAAAGAGAGAAACTTGGGTAAGTATCTTATATTTTCATTGTACCGGGTAGTTAAGTATAATCTCAATGGTCATTTTCGACAAACAATCCACAAATATACAAAAAATGCGGCTATTGATAGGCACTTTAACAATCCTTTTGTTGTTGTTGTTCTTAAATTGTGAATTGATTAGATGTCAAAAACTTTCATAGTGGCATTATTTTTGTCAAGATCATTCTTGACTGAAGCATAAATACAATTTGGCTCTCCTTAATTCAAGAAAATGTAAAATTACTCTTGCAATATAATTAAGAAGAGTTTTTTGTGGGAGCTTTTTTCTCATTTTTATCCACCCACATGTATGTTTTCATTGTCCCTGTCCGTCCATCCACAATTTGTTTGTGGACAGTCTAAAGGTCACAATTTTTATCTAATTATGACGAAACTTGAGATGTGGGTTTGTCTCCCAAAGATCTTGGTTCCTTTCGAGTAGACTGTAGAATATTGATATTATAATCAACATAGTAAAGATGTATATTTTGATAATTGTTCATTGTCACCAATATGGACAAGTCCTTACAACTATACAATAGCCTTAACCAAGGGACAACATTTTTTTTTTAAACTGATCCTATGTCGGCATGTAAATGATTACAGTAAATCTCGAATCATTTTTTTAACCCTTTTTTTTTTTCAAATCCAATGTGAAGCATTGAGACAATTATTGGATGAGCCATTTTTTACAAAATGTAGGCGTAATCTTGCATGGCAACTGCTTTATCCAGTTAGGTGAGAAGCATTAGGTTCATGATTGTACAAAGTCTATTGATACTCTGCATTACGCAGTTGTCCGTTTTGGAGTTACCCCTCTCTCCCGATATTGGGTCATTCCATGTCAAGTGGACCAAATTCTCAAAAATTTGGAAGGTGACCCCCTCAGAAAATTATGAAAAAAATATATGTTATAGTACATGTACATACAGTCTTACATCAACTGCAAATTTATATGACTCTAGCATAAATATTGACTGAGATATGACCATTTGAATTGGGGTACCCTTTGAAACTACTGTTATGATTTGATTTTTGTGATCTGATTTTATTCCTTCTAGTAGGGGGGGGGGGTGTTATTCAACAAATATTCTGGAAGCCTAGGGTACGGCGCTTAAAATATGTGGAGGAGTAACAAAATCCATAATACAGAAAAAAATTTAACCCCTGACCCCCATGTACATACCCCCTGAAAATGGGGTACCTCAAATTAGAGAAAATATCAGTTTTTCTGTCATTTCACCACTAACAAATTTGTTTAGAATGCCTTTCACAGGTTCATATGTAGGTGATTAGACGTAGGACATGCAAAAGCGTCTGTATATCGAAGTAAGATATGCTCGAGATACAATCATATCAGTACCTTAACAAAGTGACAGATTCCGTTTATTAAAGGACCATAAAAAATCGCCAATTTGAAGGCCCATGTAAGCAATCTCAATTGTAAAGCAGATGTAACGATGAGTGATTTGAATTCACTCCGAGATAGCTTAACTTTGCCAAAATAATGATATTATGTAATCGTATTGATGAATATTTCACCACATGATAAATATGTTGTTAGTGGTTTCTTTTTTGTTTGAAATCACCACAAATTCAGATTCTATGCCCTCGAAAACATAGTAGTTGACATATTACAACACTATTTTTGTTCAAAAGGCAAAAAATACATATTTGCGGTGCCATTTTGGCCTTCATATTGGATTGCCGCTATATTGGATTGTCGCGGGTCATTTTAAATTTCACATTCAGACTTGCAGACCACAAAAACCTACATATGAACCTGTGAAAGGCATTCTAAATAAACTTGTTAGTGGTGAAATGACAGAAAAACTGCTATTTTGACTAATTTACGGGTACCCATATTCAGGGGGTATGTACATGGGGGTTAGGGGCGTCGGGGGTCCAAATTTTTTTTTTATTATTAATTTTGATACTTCTCCACAAGTTTTAAATAAACACTGTACCAAAGGAATCGACTATTAGCACAGACCCCTACTTCTAGTCAATTTATATTCTTGAAATTATGGGGTTTCTAACAGAATGTTATATAAATAAGAATTTACCATTACATTTTACAGAAAATGTACCGTCAACTGTGTATGGAGTGCCTGAAGTGCCAAAGTGATACTTGTGCAAAAACCTATCAATATTTTGATACAGTGTAGACATTTTACTACACTGTATTAGAAGTTGTTACTTATCACATGTATAATGTATCAAATGGGTATTGTGTGAACAGACATTATTAAAAGTTGTATCTTCGTTGGTTTCTTGTCAAATTAGCTTTGAAAATCGATTCACACAGGAAAATAGCTTAAATCATTCTTTTTCAAACGATAGCCATATAGAGGAGCCTTCCATGAAAAATATGAAACTTTGGGAAAATGTTGCATGTAAACGTGTCTATCAGTGATGAAAGGTCCATCTTTGATATTTTACTCTCTCATTTTTTTTTTTATTAAATTTGAACAGTAAATTGGGATTTTTTTCATTTTTTGCGGATTTGAATGGATTGCTTGTATACATGTAGTTCTAATTACCTGATCATCATGAAACAAAACCTTATAAGAACATTTTCTGCACACTTAACAATTATGCATCTACAGTAGAATCTGTATGAGCAGCCACTCCTATTCAGCGACATCTCCTTGTAAGCGGTCACGATAAATTCCCCCCGTAGAAATTCTGTTGTTTCATCTCTTTATTCAATGGTCACTCCTCTAACGCGGCCAACGGTCACTATTTTACTAATAAATTCAACAAAACATCGCCCATTCAACGGCCATTGTTGAATGATACCATCTTGTCGTTCTTTGTAACACCCCCGCTAATCCCGTGAGTAGTAGTTAATTAACTGGACCCCCACTGATCAGGTAAAAAGAAATGTAAACATAACAATCAACCCGGGATTATCTGTTAATTAATCTTTTGTTTTATTAAACGACTAACCTGATCATTGTTTTCACGCGTAACGACACATTATTTGATACTGATTGAATAAAATAAAAGTACCGAGTTTTGTCACGATCATCTAGTATCTCTCTTAGCGCCTCCTATAATATTACATACAGAGTTACACCCCTGTAAATAGGAGATAAAATTAGCGATGTTTTTTGTTCATGTGCTTTTTTGATAAAATAAAATGAATTCATCGATTTTCTTCACAAAAATGGATAAATATTATCGAATGCATCACAATGGTAGACAGTAGTATCGAAGGTTGGTACAAAATGACAAGTTTACAGAAGTTATGTCCGAGATTTGAGTAAAGAATTTTCGTCCGGCGCAAGATTCAGCGACGGCCAAATTTACCGCTTCCAATGCATCCAAGCGTAATATTTAATTTATGTCGGCACAAAAAGCAACGAGATTTTATTAAGAGGCCACTCCCGTTAAGTTATGTCCGAGATTTGAGTAAAGAATTTTCGTTTGGCGCAAGATTCAGCGTCGGCCAAATTTACCGCTTCCAATGCATCCAAGCGTAATATTTAATTTATGTCGACACAAAAAGCAACGAGATTTTATTAAGAGGCCACTCCCGTTAAGCGGTCAGTTGTGAAAATTCCCTTGGGTGGCTGCTTAATGCAGATTCTACTGTATATCACATTATCAGAACGGGGGAATACTATTATTTATGATTCAATATCAAAAACACAGAAATTTCAAGATTTTTAACATGTTAATATATTTCTATTAATGCTAGATATAAATTTGCATTTGTACTATAACATATATTTTTTTCATAATTTTCTGAGGGGGTCACTTTACAAGCATTTGTGCAGTTGACATGAAATGACCCTATTTTTTTTATGTGCACATATTTTCATATGGACGTATTATGCCGTCGCCACTGTCCGTCTGGAAGTCTGGACTTCCATCAGTCCACAATTTGTTAGTGGACACTCTGCAGATTACAATATTCAGTTTTGAAGAAACTTGAAGTATAGGTCTATCTACCAAAGATCTTGGTTCCTTTCGATATTGGCATGTATCGGACCATGACTTCATGGATTATGGCCCCTGATTGTACGAAAAATCACGTTTTTAGCTTGTGGACACTCTACAGGTCAAATTTTCATCAGATTTGATGAAACTTGAAGTGCATGTTTATAACCCAAAGATCTTGGTTCCTTTCGATATTTGCACATATCGGATCATAACTTCCTGAATTATGCTCCCTGATTGTACAAAAAATCAGGCTTTAGCTTGTGGTCCCTCTAGAGGACACAATTTTTATCCAATTTCAAAAACTGTTTGAATATATCACGGTCACACCCTAAAAACGGATGAGTTTGTGACAATCCGACCAAAACTGCCGGACAAAATGGCCGCCCCTCGTACGCAAATAATGTAATAAATATGTTATATCAAGGTTTTGGACCCTCTAGAGGCCACAATTTTGATCTGATTTTTATGAAACTTTAAATTTATGTTTATATCGCAAAGATCTTGGTTCCTTTCGTTAATCGTGCATATTCGAATGTAACTTCCTTGAATATGGCTCCTGATTGTTCGAAAAATCAAATTTTTTGCTTGATGTCAAAATCTGTATTCAATTTTTAAAAACGTTTAAATATATCACCGCTACATATCAATGAAGGTTAAGTTCGCATTTCGTAAAAATCTAACCGAATCTGCCGGACAAAATGGCCACTCCTTGTACACAAATAGTGTAAAAGTATGTAATACCAAGGTTGTTGACAGTCGTGAAGTCACAATTTTTATCCAATTTTGATGAAATTTGAAATGTTTGTTTATAATCCCCAAATCTTGGATCCTTTCGATATTTGCGCATGTCGGACCATAACTTCTGGATCATGGCCCCTGATTGTACGAAAAATCATGTTTTTAGCTTGTGGACCCTATAGAGGTCATAATTTTTATCCGATTTAATATAACGTTCAAATATATCACCGTTACACCGTAATTTTGGTTGAGTATGAATTTTGTGAAAATCAGACGAAAATTGCCGGACAAAATGGCC